TCATTTCACTCTGGCCCCTTCCTGTAACAAGAGGCTGGTATATCATTCGTTCATTCTTGCCAAGTGCAGTGGTTTATGCCTCTAATCACAGCACTTTGGGAGGCCGTGGTGGGCAGATCACTTGAGGCCAGCAGTTCAAGACCAGCCTGGTCAACATGGTGAAACTCTGTCTACTGAAAATACAAAAATTAGCCGGGCGTGGTGGCAGGTGCCTGTAATCCCAACTGCTCGGGAGGCTGAGGCTGGAGAATCACTTGAACTCAGGAAGTGGAGGTTGCAGTGAGCCGAGGTCACTCCACTACACTCCAGCCTAGGGGACAAAGTGAAACTCCGTCTCAAAAACAACAACAAAAAACATGCTGGTGTATCATTCATTCGTTTTTGCCAGCTGAGGTGGTGGCTCACACCTGTATTCCCAGCTACTTGGGAGGCTGAGGCGGGAGGATTGCTTGAGCCCGGGAGTTTGAGAACAGTCTGTGCAACATAGTGAGATTCCATCTCAAAAACTTCATTCATAAATGAATGAATATTTAAGCATGGACACTATGCAGCAGGCGCTTCCTAGGGACACAGCATAATAAATTCATCAAAGCTACACTTTATCAGGCTATCTTTTGTTTTTCTTTCTTTTTTTTTAGGCAAGGTCTCACTCTGTGCCCTAGGCTGGCAGCTGTAGGGTGATCTTGGGTTACTGCAGTGTCTGCCTCCTGGGCCCAAGGGATCTTCCCACGTCAGCCTCCAGAGTAGCTGGCAGTGCAGGTACACGCCACCAGGCCTGGCTAATTTTTCTTTTCTTTTCTTTTCTTTTCTTTTTTTTTTTTATTTTGAGACAGAGTCTCATTCCGTTGCCCAGACTGGAGTGCAGTGGCGTAATCTCAGCTCACGGCAACCTCCGCCTCCCAGGTTCAAGTGATTCTCCAGCCTGAGCCTCCTGAGTAGCTGGGATTACAGGCATGCACCACCATGCCCAGCTAACTTTTATATTTTTAGCAGAGACAGAGTTTCACCATGTTGGCCAGGCTGGTCTCAAACTCCTGAACGCAAGTGATCCACCCGCCTAGGCCTCCCAAAGTGCTGGGATTACAGGCATGAGCTACCATACTTGGCCAAATTTTCTATTTTTCATAGACATGGGGTTTCACCGTGTTGCTCAGGCTGGTCTTAAACTTCTGAACTCAAGTGATCCATCTGCTTCAGCCTCCAAAAGTCCTGGGATTACAGGTGTGAGCCACTGCACCCAGCCTGGGCTATGATTTAATTGTATGTGGTTTGTGAGTCAGATTCGACTCAAAGCAAAATGATGAAGACAGCCAGGTTCATCTTTTGGTCCTCTATTTCGTTACTACTCTCTGCCTTTTGGGGACTCCTCTTCTACCAGGGTTCCTGTGATATTATGATATACATATGTATATATTTTATTTTTTTCCCACCGATGGTTTCTGGCTCATAACTCCCACAGCCCTTGTTATAATGTTCGAAATGTAAGCCTCAGAAAACAGAATTTCTCTCTCTGACCTCCTGCCTCTTTTCACTTGCTCTTTTTTCTCCTCAAGGTAGGACTCCAGTCTTCCCTCACCTTTCTGTCTTGGAGTTGGCCATAAATGAATTCTCCCTCATTTCAGAAGGGGTCCTGCCCCAAAGGCTAGAGGAAGGAATATGGCACAGAGAACCCAAGAAGCATCTGAACAGACAGGCCTTGCTGGGATTCCCCAACCCGTCTATTAGTACAAGATCATACACCTTTTGACCTTTTTTAGAAAGAGTCTTGATCTGTCACCCAGGATGGAGTGCCATGGCAAGATCTTGGCTCACTACGATCTCTGCCTCCTGAGTTCAAGTGATTCCCCTGCCTCAGCCTCCCAAGTAGCTGGGACTACAGGTGCGTGCCACCATGCCCAGCTAATTTTTGTATTTTTAGTATAGACAGGGTTTCACCATGTTGGCCAGGTTGGTCTGGAACTCCTGACCTTAGGTGATCTGCCCGCCTCGGCCATCCAAAGAGTTGGGATTGCAGTTGTGAGCCACCATGCCTGGCCATCCAATCACATTTCTACATGGTTGTCAATCATGTCTATGTGATGAAGCCTCCCCATAAAAGGCCCAAGAGGACTGGGTTCAGGGAGCTTTCCGATAGCTGAACACGAGGAGGTTCCTGGAGGGTGGCTCACCCAGGGAGGGCAGGGAAGCTCTGTGCCCCTTCCCTATACCTCACCCTGGCCATCTCTTCATCCGTGTCCCTTGTAATATTCTTTGTAATAAGCCAGTAAACATAAGTTTCCCAGAGTGCTGTGAGCTGCTCCAGCAAATTAACCAAACCCAAGGAGGAGGTCGTGGGATCCCCAACTTGAAGCTGGTTGGTCAGAAGTTCTGGGGCTGGGCGCCGTGGCTCACACTTGTAATCCCAGCACTTTGGGAAGCTGAGGTGGGCGGATCAGTTGAGGTCAGGAGTTTGAGACCAGCCTAGCCAAAATGCTGAAATCCCATCTCTACTAAAAATACAAAAACAAGCTGGGCGTGGTGGCGCACGCCTGTAATGCCAGCTATTCAGGAGGCTGAGGCACAAGAATCACTTGAACCCGGGAGGTGGAGATGAGGTATCTCCAGGTAGATAGTGTCAGAATTGAATTGGAGGACACCCAGCAATGTCTGCTGTAAAACTGATCACTCTCTTGGTGTGTGGGGTTTGCTTTCTTGGTGTGTGGGGAGAAACTCCCACCCATTTGTTCACAGAAGCCTTCTATGTTGATGGTTGTTGAATGAGAGAACAGAAAAAACACTTTGAGTGTGTTTTTTTTCTATCCAGTCTCCAAACCTCATGCTGGCTGGACAGTGTAGTCATGAAGTTTAAAGGTATTTTTTTTTTACAGAGTCTCGCTCAGTCGCCCAAGCTGGAGTGCAGTGGCGCGATCTCGGCTCACTGCAACTTTCGCCTCCAGGGTTCAAGTGATTCTCCTGCCTCAGCCTCTTGAGTAGCTGGGATTACAGGTGCCCGCCACCATGCTCGGCTAATTTTTTGTATTTTTAGTAGAGACGGGGTTTCACCATGTTAGCCAGGATGGTCTCGATCTCCTGACCTCGTGATCCACCCACCTCGGCCTCCCAAAGTGCTGGGATTACAGGCGTGAGCCACCACGCCCGGCCGTTTAAAGGTATTTCTTCTCCCTGATAATTAAAGCCATTCTTTGCCCCAGTGGAGATCAGATAGAGAATGTGATCATTTATATCCCAACGGTTTTCCCTTCCAAGTAGCAATATCTATCCCTCCCTGAAAAGGCATACATCTCTTGAAGGATGAGGCTAACGGTTATCTTACAGGCGATGGGGCTGAAAGGTAAGAGTTCTAAGTGGCTTCTCTCCACATGCATCATTATATAGAGGACCTCATTAATCTATTCCTTGTTGTTCACAGATTTGCCTTGTGGCTCCAGCATTCCCTTGTCTCTCTCCTCTGTTGCTTCCTTTTTTGTTTTTGTTTGTTTGTTTTTGAGACAGGGTCTCGCTCTGTCACCTAGGCTAGACTGCAATGGCGTGATCACAGCTCACTGCAGCCTCAACCTCCCAGGCTCAAGCAATCCTCCTGCCTCAGTCTCCCAAAGTGTTGGGATTACAGGGATAACCCCCGTGCCTGGCTTGTTGCTTTCTTTTTATTTTTCAGTCTCTGCCTCTGATTCAACCTTCATCACCGCACACAGTGATCCTTAGAGAGCTTCCTAACTGATTGCAGCGCCTTCTATCTTTCACCAGTCTGACTGCTTCCACACTCCATCATCATAATAATTATACGAATATTCAGAAAAATGTTGATCAATGCATCTTGTCCCCACCAACACAGACATTAGCCACGGGATAGACAGGTGACTCAGTCTTGTCCCCTATGGTAAAAATGATTGGTCCGAGTGTGGGCATGTGCTCCATTTAGACTGGCCAGAGTTCTTTCCCCGCATTAGAGATGGACCCAGGGAGGAAGCAAGACTTCCTAATGAGGTGGCTAAGCAGAGGGCTCACGTGGGCCTGCTATTGGCCATGTTCTTTGGCCTGTGGACAAGTCCTAACTCTGATGGAGATGAATGAGGTCTAACTTAAAGAGGAGCTGAGGACCAGGAGCTGAGGATCCAGGACACACCTATACATATAGAACTGAAAAGCAAGTTTTATATAGATGAGAAATGAATGGGAAATCAGAGTCCAGGTGACACTGAGTTCCCTGACGTCAGACTGAGGTCCTGATTTCTGTACTCATTCAACAAGTTAATCTAACAAATATCCCTAAAATACCTACTATGTGCCAGGCACTGTACTAGGTGCTGGAAGGTATTAATAGTTCTACTTTCAAGTATTTAAGTTTCCCCCATATGCTTCTACCACATGAGCCAACGAATTCCCCTTGGGCTAATGCCTGTTTGAATTGAGTTTCTGTCACGTGCAACCAGAAGATTCCTAATGAAGACACCCTGATCCCCAGAAGACAACAAACTATACATCTAAAATAAAACTTCGTAATTATATATTAAGCAGGTTCTGCATTAGTAACCACACCAGAGGCCAAGAGAAAATGGCAATGGCTGGATTGTCTTGGACATGTTCCTTCTCCAGGGTTGACTTTTTGGTCACTGTCCTTTAAGTCTTACTGTATTAGTCTGTTTTCACACTGCTATAAAAATACTGCCTGAGACTGGGTAATTTATAGACAAAAGAGGTTTAATTGTCTTACAGTTCCTCATGACTGGGGGCGTTTCTCAGGAAACTTACAAACATGGTGGAAGGCAAAGGGGAAACAAGGCACGTCTTACATGGGGGCAGGAGAGAGAGCAGGTGCAGGCGAAGCTGTCACTTTTAAACCATCAGCTGTCAAGGGAACTCCCTCACTATCATGAGAACAGCATGGGGGAAACCATCCCCATGATCCAATCACCTCCCACCAGGTCTCTCCTCTGACACATGGGGATTACGATTTGAAATGAGACTTGGGTGGAGACAGAGAGCCAAACCATATCACTTACCTTGGGGTGACTTGTGCCAATCATATTCAGACAATGATGGGTTTCCATAAGCATGGACAGGACCACTTTCACCTACATAAGCAGGGTTCACTGGAGGGGAGAGGAAGGAGACATTGCCAATTAGTCTCATCACACTAGACATTCCTGGCATGCAATAGTTATGATGTGCTAATAATGGTTCATAACGGCTAATAAGACTGAGACCTGATCTTTGAGGTTCTAACAGACTACCGATTAAGAACTTGGGTGGAAAACAGGACAAAACTTCAGTCTAGATCAATGGTTTTTCATTTGACTAAGCCATAGTTAAAAATAATTGTTGGCAAGGCAAGATAGCTCACGCCTGTAATCCCAGTGCTTTGGGAAGCCAGCCAAGGTGGGAGGATTACTGGAGCCCAAAAGTTCAAGACTATCCTGGGCAACATAATGAGACCCTGTCTCTAAAAAAAAAAATATATATATATATAAAAAAATAAAAAATATATGATATAAAAATAAAAATATATATTTTATACTATATATTTTATATATTTTTTGTATTTATAATATATTCATATATTTTTATATGTTACATATAATCTATATTTTATATGTTATATAACATAAAAATAAATATGATATGTAAAAATATAATATTTATTATTTATAAATCTATTTTAATATAAAATATATAATATAAAAATAAAATTACATTAAATATATATATTAATATATATTTTAAGACAGGTTATCACTCTGTCACCTAGGCTGGAGTGCAGTGGTGCGATTTCAGCTCACTGCAGCTTCGACCTCCCAGGCTCAAGAAGTCCTCCCACCTCAGTCTCCTGAGTCGCTGGGACCACAAGCATGCACCACCATGCCTGGCTAATATTTTGTATTTTTTGTAGAGATGGGATTTCACCATGTTGCCCAGGCTGGTCTCGAACTTCTGGGCTCAAACGATCTGCCAGCCTTGGCCTCTCAAAGTGTTGGGATTACAGGCATGAGTCATGGAGCCCAATAAAAAAAATGTGTGTGTGTGTGCATGTGTGTGTGTGTATAAATAATGGTTGCACTGAGATCCAGGACACACCTACACATATAGAACTGAAAAGCAAGTTTACAAAATAATTCTTTGTTTGACTATATAAACTGCACTGTAACATAGCCTTACTCATAGCCTTACTCTAGTCCACTCTTTTTTTTTTTTTTTTTTTGAGACTTGCTCTGTCACACAGGCTGGAGTGCGGTGCCGCAATCTTGGCTCACTGCAACCTCTGCCTCCTGGGTTCAAGTGATTCTCCTGTCTCAGCCTCCCAAGTAGCTGGGAGAAATGGAGAAAATAGAGCACATTTTGATGCGGACAGTATACAAAATTACGTTGCAAGACGTTCTGGAGTTTCTTGCCTGGGAATCAACTCCCAGCCCTGTTACTTCCTAATTGTGCACCCCCTGGGTGTGTGTCTTAACAGCTCTGAGCTTCAATATCTTAGTCTTTAAAATAGGGATAATAGGCTGGGTGTGGTGGTTTATGCCTGTAATTTCAGCACTTTGGGAGGTCAAAGTAGGACGATCCCTTGAACACAGGAGTTCAAGACCAGCTTGGGCAACATGGCATAACCCTCCCTGCAAAACATAAAAAAATTGGCTGGGCGTGGTGGTAGTGTGCCTGTAGTCCCAGCTACTCGGGAGGTGAAGGCTGCAGTGAGCTGAGATTGCACCACTGCACACCAGCCTGTGCAACAGAGTGGGCGGTTTGTCTCAAAAATAAATAAATATATAGGGATAATAATAGGACCTTCACATAGGATTGTTGAGGGGAATTGAATCAGTGAACACATGTGAAATAATTAAATAATTCTACAACATAGTAAACTCTATTATATATTAACTGTCATAGTAGATTAATTGTTATTCAGCAAACATTACACTTCCCCTACCTTGACCACCTCCATTGACACTGGGCTTAGTCGTGTGACTTGCTTTTAACAATGGAATGTGGCAGAAGGGACAGTGTGCCAGTTCCAAGTCAAGGCTTTTAAAGATACCGTGTGTTTCTGCTTGCCATTTTGAGCACTTTCAGCTTACGGCATGGGAAGATACTGCCCTAGGTCACTCACTGGTCCAAGAAGAGGGACACTAGAACTAAATAGAACCCATGACGTAGAGCCAAGCACAACAAACTCAGCCTAGTTCAGCCAAATGCCAACCAACCTTGCAGACCCATAAGAAATAAATGCTTGTTTATTGTATGACTCTGGATTTTTGGAGTTGTTTGTTATGCAGCATTCCTGTGGCAACAGCTAGCTGATACAACTCTTGCAGTTGTTGTTGTTGTTATTAACTCAGTTAGCATTTTTCGAGCACCTATTGTGGGCCAGGCACTGTGACACGAGGAAGAGCACCTAGAGCCTTGGAGGGTACATAGATGAATATAGGTTCTCCTTAAGGAGTGAACACTTTATCAGGATGGGGTGACACTGGACAAGTGATTGCCAAGGGCTGCAAACTTTGTCCTACAGAGGATCCTACAGAAGTGACCTATACTGACCTGCTTTTTTTGTTTTTTAAGTATTTTAACTTCCCATGTTCTATATAGCTTCATGACCAGGAATCTGTTTGTGTTTGCCCTGATTCAACCTTGCACTAACGCAGGGTAAATAAGAGGTCAGGTTTTGGGTAGAGAGACGGGATTCAATCCTGGCTCTGTCAATTTAGTAAGTGAGTGACCCTGTGCATGTTTCTTTCTGAGCCTTAGTTTTCCCATCTGTTAAAACAGGGAGAGCAACAGTGCCTGCCTGAAAGGCAGTTGTACAGATTAAATGAGATAATGAAAGTCAAGTGCAGGACAGAGACTCCAGGGCATAGGAAACACTTAAGATTTGCTTGCAATTATAAGTTCCACTTGAACTGGAGCAGCGCAGTGTGTCTCAATTGTGTTTCATTATCAGCCCCCTAAGCAGGGGAGACATTTTTTCCTCATTGCCATCCTCTAAGAAATTTTAATACCAAAGATATACTGTATCTGTTTACGTACTACATGTGTATCTCTGCTTTATACATCAAAAAAGCGAGATTGTTTTCTGGCCTTTCAAGAGTGGATATTCCCCCATTGGGATTTCTATTGCCCCAGTGGAGGAATGCATGGAATAAAGGTTTGGAATAGCCCTGGGCTGGACAAGTGATGTCTGTGCTCCCCAAGGAATATTTTCTTTTTTTTTTTTTTTTTGAGATGGAGTCTCACTCTGTCGCCCAAGTTAGAGTGCAGTGGTGCGATCTCGGCTCACTGCAAGCTCCACCTCCCGGGTTCACGCCATTCTCCTGCCTCAGCCTCCCGAGTAGCTGGGACTATAGGCGCCTGCCACCATGCCCGGCTAATTTTTTGCATTTTTAGTAGAGACGGGGTTTCACCGTGTTAGCCAGGATGGTCTCGATCTCTTGACCTTGTGATCCACCCGCCTCAGCCTCCCAAAGTGCTGGGATTACAGGCGTGAGCCACCATGCCCGGCCAGGAATATTTTCTTTTCTTTTTCCTTCCTTCCTTCCTTCCTTCCTTCCTTCCTTCCCTCCCCCTCTCCCTCACCTCCCCCACTCTTTACCTTCCCTGCCCATTCTTCCTCTCCCCTCCCCTCCTTTCCTTTCCTTTCCTTTCCTGTCCTGTCCTGTCCTGTCCTGTCCTGTCCTTTCTTTATTTGTGACAGGGTCTCGCTTTGTCACTCAGGCCAGAGTGCAGTGGTACAATCATGGCCCACTGCAGCTCAACCTCCCAGGCTCAAGTGATCCTCCTGTGTCAGTCTCCCAAGTAGCTGGGACCCCAGGTGTGTGCCACCATGCCCAGCTAATTTTTAAAATTAGGCCCGGAATGAAAATTTTCTGTGTTAACAGTCAGTGTTTTCATTAGTACAGGGCTATGCATCCTGTCCCCTCCTCTCTGCCTTCTCCCAAACCTTCCCCGTCTACTCCTCAAGGCTCATCAATCCTCCATTTGCACCTCCCAGCGCTTGGGTCTCTTGTTCTCTTCTTATTGGCTGAACACTTTCTCCCTTTTCTGACCTCCACAGGCTCCAAATTCCTTTAACATTGCCTGGCTTTTTTTTTTTCTCTTGTGCCATCAAATGGCTTCCTGGAATACGTCTTTTCTTCCTCCTGGAAACTAAGAACTGTTCAGAATTGGCCCAGGCTCAAACCTGTAATCCCAGCACTTTGGGAGGCCGAGACTGTAGGATTGCTTGAAGCTAGGAGTTCAAGACCAGCCCGGGCAACATAGCAAGACCCCATCTTTCTCAAGCATAAAAAAAGTGCCAGGCATGGTGGCATGCAACTGCAGTCCCTGCTACTGGGGAGGCTGAGGTGGGAGGATTGCTTGAGCCTAGGAGTTCGAGGCTGCAGTGAGCTATGATCAGCCTGGGTGACAGAGCAGGACAGTCTAAAAAAAAAAAAAACTGTTTAGAATTTCCTTTGCCTCCTGGAGCTAAGCATCTTACCTATATACACAACCAATTATGAGGACAACATGATTTTTCAAATATTAATAGTTTGCTTGTTAACTTTCTTTAGTCTTTTTATTTATTTTATTTTATTTTTTTAACAGAGTCTTGCTCTATTGCCCAGGCTGGAGTGCAGTGGTATGATCTTGGCTCACTGCAACCTCTGCCTCCTGGGTTCAAGTGATTCTTCTGCCTCAGCCTCCTGAGTAGCTGGCATTACAGGTGCCCTCCACTGCACTTGGCTAATTTTTGTATTTTTAGTAGAGACAGGGTTTCACTATGTTGGCCAGGCTGGTCTCAAACTCCTGACGTCAGGTGATCTGCCTGCCTCGGCCTCCCAAAGTGCTGGGATTACAGGCGTGAGCCACCACACCCGGCCTTTTCTTTAGTATTGATGTAGTACTTTTGTTGATCTATTTAGACTTTAAATAACATGAGGGCAGAGCTACCTCTTAACTCCCTTTTCCCTCGGTAGGTTCTGAACACGTATGTGCTGATTGCCTGAATGCCTTTAGGATATGCTAAACTACAGGTGGCCACTGGCAGCTAACAAAAAATGTGATTTTGTTTGCCAAGATCATTGGTTTTACTTTTAAAAATTATTTTGGAACACATAAACATCAGGTTTCACATAAAACCCCAAATACATGGCTTCTGAAAAATATGAGGATCTCACCACAATGAGCCCACATTGCCACATAACCACTGTGGACTGAGCTCCACCACCTCCAGCAGGCACAGGGTGCACACGTCCCCATTTTCCACAACCCTTACCTGGCGTTTTTTTAAATAATTGGTGACAATTAACTTGGCTTCTCTAAACACTGAATTCTCAACTTTTGTATGTTAAAAAAGGGTCTCTGAGATTGGAAGGATACACCAATTCTCCTATTGCCAAGTCTCCTTAATGACTGCACTCCTAAATCCACTGATTTTATTTTCTTCCCAAGATATGATCCGGCTTAACAAATGCTTACCATAGCCATTTCCAGGAGCACCCGGCAGAGAGTGGCCATATGAGTTTGTCATCTCCATGGATGCCATTTCAATGCCTTCAGGGTAATCTTCATTCTCTCCCCAAAGGTTGCCCAAGGGGCCGTCACTCCTGTGATGAAACGAGGGCTGGATTGAAGATGTTCTGCTGAGTGCCCTAAAATCCAAAATGATGGATCACTATCCAACCAAGAGTATAGTAAGGATTTTCATCCATCCATCCATCCATCCATCCATCCATCCATCCATCCATCTGTCCATGCATCCATCCATTCAATGATGTATTCATCCATTTATTTATCCATCCATCCATTTATCCATCCATACATTCAACCATCCATCTATCCATCCATGTATCCATCCATTCAATCATGTATTTATCCATTCATTTATCCATCCATCCATCCATTCATTCATCCATTGATTCATCCATTTATCCATCTATCCATCCATGTATCCATCCATTCATTCATGTATTCATCCATCCATTTACCATCCATCCAACCATACATACATTCATCCATCCATGTATTCATCTATCCATCCATGTATCCATCCATTCATTCATGTATTCATCCATCAATCCATCCATCCATTCCATTGCATTCCACAAATGCAGGCTAAGTGCCAACCCTGAGTTAGGCATGGGCTAGGAGGTGAGAATACAAAGAGGAAAACATAGGGTATCTGCCCTCAAGAAGCTCACAGTACAAGTTGGTACACCTTCTTAGACACAGCTATGAATAATCATACTACAAGTAGAAACTGGTGAGTATCCGCAGACAGGCCCAAGGAGTTCGGAGGAAGGAGAATTCTTGCTGAGAGTTCTGGGAGAAATCTGCGTGGAAAAGATACATCTGAGCGGGAATTCGGAGGACACATTCATACATAGGGGGAGGGCATTCCAAGGATGGATGAAGAACAGCATAAAAAAAGGTGTGAGGCCAGAAAGTGCTGAATATATAAAGGAAACGCTATGAAAATCAATTAATGAGTAATGATTCTCAATTTACTACATATATCAATTCCCAAGCCTCATCCTGGAGAATTAAATCAGAAGTTCTGAAAGTTTGGCTGAGGCATCTGTATTATTTTTAAAGTTCCCCAGATAACGGGGTAACGCTAAGGATCAGCCAAAGTCAAGAACCACTGACCTAGAGTATAGGGTCAAGGCAGGGGGCAGACAGGAGACTTAAGAGGAGATCAGTCAGGCTGGTCTTTGGCAGGCATCTTACATTAACATGACGTATCCTTATTCGTAAACGTTCTATAAGTGAAGTTGGGTGGCCTTTCTCCAAAGGCTATGGGGACCCACGGAAGATGAAAAGCAAAGGAGTGACAGGATCAAAGGTGGGCTTTGGAATGATGACTCAGGCAGTGGGTGATAAGACCAAGGAGGACATTTTCACCTGGTCCTGTTAACCCTACTATTTGGGTTCTAAAGACATCATGGCTGCTGCACACCCAAGTCCCATATCCTTGTTCCTAGAGATAAACACAAGCCACCAGGTTTTTTTTGTTTTTTTATCAAATTCGTAAATATTACTAGTAGAAACAGTAAATGCAAAATCAGACTCATGCTGGTTAAAACTTCACATGGTAAACATATTTACTGATTAAACCACAAACTGACTTTAAAAAATCACATCCTAGATTGGGCACAGTGGCTCGCGCCTGTAATCCCAGCACTTTGAGAGGCTGAGGCAAGCATATCATTTGAGGTCAGTAGCTCAAGACCAGCCTGGCCAACATGGTGAAACCCTGTCTCTACTAAAAATACAAAAACTAGCTGGGCATGGTGGTGCCTGCCTGTAATCCCAGCTGCTTGGGAGGCTGAGGCAGGAGAATCACTTGAACCTGAGAGACGGAGGTTGCAGTGAGCCGAGACTGAGCCACTGCACTCCAGCCTGGATGACAGAGTGAGACTCTGTCTAAAAAAAAAAAAAAAAAAAAAAAAATTACATTTTGTTGGCAACATAAACGTGAAAAAACTTAACCCAAGAAAAATTAGATTTGGTAGAACTAAGTCACCCAGACTAATGCTGTCAGTGTCCAGAACTGCATCTGGTAAAATTTGTCAAGGAAAGAAAATTGACAGAAGATCAAACTCTTTTAGACAAAATTTAGATCTATAGAATCTAAACCTGGAAAAACTGGACTTGCTATTTAAAAATGGCCTTAGGCCAGGTGCAGTGGCTCACGCCTGTAATCCCAGCTACTCAGGAGGCTGAGGTAAGAGAATCGATTGAATCCGGGAGGTGGAGGCTGTGGTGAGCCATGATCATGCCATTGCACTCCAGCCTGGGCAACAAGAGTGAAACTCCATCCCAAAAAATGAACAAATAAATAAATAACAACATAAAAAAATGGCCTTAAAGGGATACTGAAAATGGTGAAAATAATAATTGATAAAATTAGATTCAAATAGTGCAGATAATCAGTGAATCAAACCTGCAGTAAAGTTTTGGTGAAAAGTCATCAATTCTGACAATCTCAGTAAAATAGAAATAAAAGTGTAAAAATCAGAAGCGGTGCAAACATGGCCGGGCATGGTGGCTTATGCCTATAATCCCAGCAGTTGGGAGCCTTCTTTAAGACTAGCCTGGGCAACATGGCGAAACACCATCTCTACAAAAAAATAAAAAATTAGCCAGGCATAATAGGTGCACACCTGTAGTCCCAGCTACTTGGGAGGCTGAGGCGGGAGGATCAATTGAGTCCAGGAGGTTGAGGCTGTGGTGAGCCATGATTGTGCCACTGCCCTCCAGCCTGGGCGACACAGCAAGACTCTGTCTCAAGAAAAAAGAAAAAAGAAAAAAAAAACAATGACCCAAAAAACCAAAGAAGTGGTGCAAACATATTACACAAAAAACTAATTGACTTCATGGAGTTAGATCTCCAAAAGATTTTCTGGATAACAATTCATTACTATTGATGTAATTTCGATTAAAGTGTTTGGACTTGTGAGTGTCAAGCCTTAACCTTGCTGGCAATGTAGCAGGGTCAAAACAGTGTGGATCTAGATGTCTTACAGGGATTGAATTAGGAAGAGATGGGATAATGGGAAGGTGATCCAAGGAAGAGATGGTGAAAGATTAAGTTCAGGTAAGGGCTTGAAGCCTCAAACTGAGAGTCCATGGCGCAGGTGAGGTCTACAGATAGGTATGTGAGTTTCACCACAACTTCAGGTCATGGAAACCATCATATATATCCCTAATCTAAACCACACCAACCAAATTCCATTGACTTAATGGTCCAGCACTCAGCCTACACTCCCAATGAAGGGATATATACCTGAACTTACCCCCTGGTCATCTTTGGGGTCTCAGAAGAGTCATAATCATGACCATTCTCAGCATCTGAATAATCAGGTTCTCTCCAAGTGCTTGGCAAGTTCTGATTGTCCTCAGCGCCAGGATAGTCTGGCTCCCCAAAAAAGGGTGGAGAGTTAGGTTGAATGTCAGCGCCTGGGTAATCAGGCTTTCCCAGAGAGTCTGTGTGCGGATTGATTCTAAAACTTGTATGTTCTAGATTCCTTCTGGAGCCTGGATGGTTCAAATTGGCTCTAGGTCCAGGATGATCAGAGTTGCTCTGAGCTCCAGAGTAGTCCGGTTCTAAGGAGTCAAAATGATCTGGATGTGTTCTGGAGCGTGCATAGTTTCCACTGCTGCTAGAGCCTGCAAAATCAGGATTTCGTTGAGATCCAAGGTAGTCTGGCTGTCTGGATGATGCTTGCTGGTATGGATGACTCTGAAATTCACTATAATCTGGCTCTGGTAGAGAGGTAGGATGGTCTGGGCTTGTTCTAGAAGCTGCAGAGTATGCATTGCTTCTGGTGCCAGAATAGTCTGGATTACTCAGAGATCCAGGATAATTTGGTTCTGCTAGAGACCCTGGATAGTCTGGACGTGTTCTGGAGGCTACAGAGTATGGATTGTTCCTGGGGCCAGGGTAGTCTGGATTGTTCAGAGGACTTGGAACATCTGGATGACCCTGAGTTTTCAAATACCCCTGCATACGGTTCTGAGACCCTGAATAGCCAGGGTAATCTGGGTCTTCCTCAGACCCGTTATTCCTGTAGTAGGCAGACATGTTGGTGTGGACTCTTCACCTTGGAGTGGTAAACTGTCCCAGCATTTGCAATTACTCAGGGATCTTTTTTTTTTTTTTCACCTGAAAAACAAGAAGAAAAGAAAAAGTCAGATTTTTTTTCCCTTCGTTCCCTGCAGAGATTGCTGGTTATCTTCCAGTATCTGTTCTCCTTTCCTTCGTAGTTGGGTACACAACTGCCTAGAATAAAGACTATGCTTCCAGCTTCTCTTGCACCAAGGTATGAACATGAGGGTGGTCAATGGGATGAGAGCAGCAGTGATACATGCAATTTCCAGGCTGTGCTATTAGAGGAAAGAAGTTATTCCTCCCTTTCTCCATCTTGCTTCCTGTGGGCCGGAATGCGGAAATGATGGTGCACCATCTTGGGTCTCGCACACAAAGCCAAGACCTGCATTTGGAATGAACGCACAACAGAGGAAAGGATGCTGAGTTGATGGTGACTTCACAGAGCACAGCCATTGTATCAGCTCAGACTATCATGTGAGAGAGAAATAAAATTATCTTGTTTAAACCACTGTTTTTGTGGTCTTTAACACACGCAACTGAGCTTACATCTTGAACAATATATTCCCTTGGTTATGGGGGAGGGGACCAGTGAATCAAAGGATTGAAAGAAACAAGGACTTTTTGTGCTTTTTCATTACACTTGAGGTTCTAGGGTTCAAAGCATAAATTAATATGAGTGCATAAAAGAAGAATAGTTAATGGAAACTAGAGGACTGGCATACGTAGACAATTGCTATGACCCCTTCCAATTTGAAAATAAGATTTTATGAGCTCCATAAGCTCCGATCTACAGACCACAGCATACTTTTGTTAAATTTAGCCCAAAGCTACCTCCTAACATATTTTAAGTTTGGCCTAAAGAGTTCTCTGTACATAATGAACTGTGACCTAAGTGGAGGTGTCAACAGACTGTAACCTATTCTTGTATCAATCATTGAATTCGGCCAATCACAGGCAGCCAATTGTTCAAACTGTGTTCAAATAAGGTAAATGCTGAGCTGTAACCAATCCATTGTTCCTGTACCTCACTTCCATTTTTTCTACGTCACTTTCCTTTTCTTGTCCATAAATCTTCTTTGACCCAACATGTGGCAGCACCTAAGTCCCTAAGAACCTATTCTGGCTGGGGAGGCTGTCCCATTAGCAAATCATTCTTTGCTTGATTAAACTCTGTTACTTTTAATTTGTCTAAAGTTTTTCTTTTAACACTTTGAAATAAGAGGTGATGTAGTTTTAATTTTCTTTTCTTTTCTTTTTTTGAGATGGAGTCTCACTCTGTAGCCTAAGCTGGAGTGCAGTGGCACAATCTTGGCCCACTGCAACCTCTGCCTCCTGGCTTCAAGCAATTCTCCTGCCTCAGCCTCCTGAGTAGCTGGGATTACAAGTGTACACCACCACATCCAGCTAATTTTTGTATTTTTAGTAGAGACAGGGTTTCACCATGTTGGCCAGGCTGGTCTCCAACTCCTGACCTCAGGTGATCCACCCGTCTCGGCCTCCCGAAATGCTTGGATTACACACATGAGCCACCATGCGTAGTTGATCTTTCTTTCTTCCTTTCTTTCTTTCTTTCTTTCTTTCTTTCTTTCTTTCTTTCTTTCTTTCTTTCTTTCTTTCTTTCTTTCTTTCTTTCTTCTTTCTTTCTTTCTTTCTTTCTTTTCTTTCTCTCTCTCTCTTTCTTTCTCTCTCTCTCTCTCTTTCTTTCTTTCTTTCTCTCTCTCTCTCTCTCTCTCTCAAGGGTCTCTCTCTGTCACCCAGGCTGGAGTGCAATGGTATACATAGCTCACTGCAGCCTCAATCTCTTGGGACTCAAGCGATCCTCCCACCCCAGCCTCCCGAGTAGCTAGGACCACAAGCATGCATCACTATGCCCAGCTAATTTTTTCATTTTCTGTAGAAATGGGGTCTCCCTATGTTATTGCCCAGGTTGATCTTGAACTCCTGAGCTCAAGTGATCCTCCTGCCTCAGCCTCCCAAAGTGCTGGGATTACAGGTGTGAGCCACCGCACCTGGCCTCCAGTGTTCATTTCTAAGTGTGTTGGATATCTGTTGTTTTTACTTGTCTACTACCCACTTCCCATTCTGTTGATATCAATGTCCTGAGTTTCCTCTGGGCATCATTCCCTCCCTTGCTCTTGGTCCAGGTGATACCGGAAGGGCTGATTGCACTCCTGACCGGCTGACCAGCTCCAGGATGGTCACATGACTCAGGTGTCCACGATCCCTCTGGCCACAGGATTTGGCTCAAGAACGGGCATGTAAACCCAGTCAGTCCTCCAGGACCAGGACAAGGCTTACTGGGAAAGAGGTGCTCTTACTTCACTGAGGTGTCTAAGGGGGTAGAATATATACATAAACTTGGAGCTTCCGATGTCATGTCAGAGGGAACAGAGAAAAAAAGTAATTAGTAGGGGGAAAATTTAAAGAAAGAATCAATAGAATTTGTTGGCTGATCCCATAGGGAAAGGGTGAGAAGGAAAATAAAAGACAAGTATATCTCTACAGTTTCAAGCCAGCATGATGAGATGAACAGTGATGTTTTTGAAAGAAGGAAGTAGAACATTTTTAAAGCTCAGCCAACTTTTACAAGTTTATCTCTCTGTAAATGCCAAGGGTTAGACTTGAGTAATCAAAGCTAAGACAATATTAAATTTCTGCCAACACCTGCAGTCTCAGAATGTCTGTGTGCCAACCCTCGTTTATATTTCTCAGCATAGTTGACATCTATGTTTCATTATTGTGTCCCTGCACGGCATCCATTTCTTGCTTTTGTGGTTAACACTTTTCCCTGGGTAACACCTCTCCCACACTGTCAGTCCCTGTGAGCCAAGTGTGGAATATGACCCCTCAGAATTATTTGCTTCCTGGCGACATTGATTCTGTCAGAGCACATGACCCAGTTAAATCCAGTGAGATTCAATTCTAGGAGTTTTATCAGAACTGTAGGGAAGAGAGAAGCTCTGTCTTCTGCTGGCCTTGGAGCTAGGAAATTTTATTTTATTTTATTTTTTGAGACAGGTTCTCACTCTGCCATCCAGGCTGGAGTGCAGTGGCATGATCACAGCTCAATGCAACCTCGACCTCCCAAGCTTAGGTGAGGCTCCTCCCTCAACCTTCTGAGTAGCTGGTACTACAGCTGTGCACCACCATGCCTGGTTAATTTTTGCATTTTTATAGAGACAGGGTTTCTCTGTGTTGCCCAGGCTGGTTTCAAACTCCTGGGCTCAAGCGATCTGATCTCGGCTTGAGGTCAGATCCAAAGTACTAGGATTGCAGGTGTTAGCCACTGCACCTGGCCAGAGTTAGGAAATTTTAGACCTGAAGCCGCCAGTGGTCACCAGTGGAGAAGGGCCTAAGAGTGATGCCAACAGGGAGGAGAACAGAACGAAGAGATAAACAGAAAGAGGAGCCAGATGTTGATGACATTGTTTAAACACCTGAATCCAGCCAAACCTGAAGGCAGCTGGATACTCGAGTCATTACATTCTCTTTTTGACTAAAGTTGGTTTGAGTTGGGTGTCTATCATTTGCAAATGAACAAAAAAGAATTCTGACAAATATGCCAGTTTTGCAAATAAGAACACCTATTCAAACTGTCTGTAGTGCTAAGAAGACTAAATGCTGTGCTTTATTGCAAATTACTTTTCCTAACATGAAAAATGATCCCATTTGTTTACTTGTATTCTAAGACTAGAAAGTTATATTTATGCTCCAGAAACTTCCACAGCCTAACAAAGCCCAAAGCTATTACATCTAACCAGCTAAACGATGCCTAGTAAATTCAAGAAATTGAAAACAGGTACAACTGTATTGGCCCAAGAGAAATGAGTAATTCTACCAAAAGATAAGAAAAATGCTCACAGAAACTGTTTTTCTTTTTCTTTTTTCTTTCTTTTTTTTTTTTTTTTTTTTTTTGAGATGAAGTATTGCTCTTTCACCCAGGCTGGAGTTAAGGGACGCCATCTTGGCTCACAGCAACTTCTATGACCCCATCCCCAGGTTCAAGCAATTCTTCTGCCTCAGCCTCCCGGGTAGCTGGGATTAGAGGTGCCTGCCACCATGCCCAGCTAATTTTTGCATTTTTAGTAGAGACGAGGTTTCATCATGTTGGCCAGGCTGGTCTTGAACTCCTGACCTCAGGTAAAAACCTACCTCGGCCTCCCAAATTGCTAGGATTACAGACGTGAGCCACTGTGCCTGGCCAGAAACTATTTTTCATAAGAGCCAAAAGTTGAAAACAATCTGAATGTCGTTCAGCAGTGGAATAAGTAAATGAATCATGGAATATTCATCCCATGAAATACTAGAGAGAAGCAACAAAGACTGAACTTCTGCTGCATGAGATGTCATGGATGAATGTCACATGGATGAGGAAAAAGAGTTGGACACAACCGAGTTCACACTGTATAATCTTTCTACAAAGTTCAAGAGCAGGCAAAGCAATACATGGTGACAGAAGTCAAAATGGTGGCTACCTTGAGGAAGGAAAGAGGTGAGTGATGACTAGACTAGGAACTACATGAGGGAATCTCTGGGGTGCTGGCTGATGATCTTGAGTGGTGGTTAAAGGGAGGCATATATGTGTGTGTGTTGTAAAAATTCATCAGGTTTCACACTTAAGAGTTATGCACATCTCTGTAAATCCATACTCTGAAATTGTTTTTGTTTTTGTTTTTTGAGACGGAGTCTCGCCCAGGCTGGAGTGCAGTGGCACAATCTTGGCTCACTGCAACCTCTGCCTCCCAAATGGCTGGGTGAACTTGGGCAAGTCACTTAACCCTTCTGTGTCTGTTTCCTTAATCATACAATACCGGCAATAATATCTCATAGTGTTGTTGTAAGGAATGAACAAGATAAGGCACAGAAGGCGGCCAACATGAAGGAAGCCGTCACTGCATGGAAGCTATTATTTGACATTATATTTAATGATGTACAGTGTAAACCCTAGCAACTTCCAAAAGAGGTAGGAGTCAGTACACAATAAAAGTCATATACTCAACCAGGACATGATTAAATAAATAGGAAATGGGCCAGGCATGATGGCTCATATCTGTAATTCCAGCACTTCGGGGGACCAAGGCAGGAAGATTCCTTGAGGCCAGGAGTTTGAGACCAGCCTGGAGCCCCCCATCTCTCTGTGTGTGTGTGTGTGTGTGTGTGTGTGTGTGTGTGTGTGTGTATATAATTAGCTTGGCATGGTAGTACATGCCTGTAATCCCAGCTACTCAGGAGGCTAGGCGGGAGGACCACTTGAGCCCAGAAGGTTGAGGTTGCAGTGAGCTATGACTGCACGATTGTACTCCAGCCAGGGCAACACAGTGAGACCCTGTCTCAAAAAAAGAAAGAAAGAAAGAAAGAAAGAGAGAGAGAGAAAGAAAGAAAGAAAGAGAGAGAGAGAGAGAGAGAAAGAAAGAAAGAAAGAAAGAAAGAAAGAAAGAAAGAATGAAGGAAGAAGGAGGAAGGAAGGAAGGGAAGGAAGGAAGGAAGGAAGGAAGGAAGGAAGGAAGGAGATGTCTTATAATCAGGTACAGGAAGGAGCAATCCTACAAAATTCCCAGGCTGACATAGTGACTATAACTGAGAACTAAATTTTGCCCTGAACTTCTTATTAGCCAAGACTAAAAGGGAATGACAAGTTATCTAATACTCACTATTTGTGGGAATAAAAGGAACTACATCAATTTTTCAAGAGGACTACCCTTCCTCCCAAGATCAATTTCTGAAAATAATTTATCATGAGAACTCTTTCAAAGGGATCAAATAACAATGTAATGAAACCAGGACTCAGGGTCACCATCAAACAAAGCACTCAGAAGCTCTAACTCCAAGAGGAGCTGCAGGAGTGGAGTTGGGAAGAGATTCTGGAGTCCCCTCCAGGTCACTGTGATGCAAGGAGACAATCACATAAGGCTGTCTCTCACATATGGCTATCTCTGGCCAATGGGCTGTGAGCATAAGTGACTGTGTCACTTCCAAGCAAAAGCGTTCAAAAGCCAAAATGAGACCCTCGAGTTCCCCTTCCACTGCCATGGGAACCAGTGATATTCCCAAAGGGGACCCAGTCACCAGCCTGGGTTCCTGCATGACCGCATGGATCACAGCCCACCTGTACCTACCCACAGTAGCTTTTCACGAGCAAGAAACAAACTTTTATGTTTTAAGACATTTAGATTTTGAGATAGTTTATTTTGATGTAGCAGAGCTTAGACTAGCCTGACTGATACAAATCATTTTGGTCTTTGTTTTGAATCTTTGACAAATTTATATATTCGTATGTACGTATATAACTTCATATTGTACGTGTATATGTGTATTATATGTGTATATTATATGTATATACATGCACACAAAGACATGCATACAATTTATGTATATATTTACTCATATCTACATATATAATAGATCTACATATATGATATACATTATATATACACACACATTTGTATAACACACATACAAAAATACACATAGATTAGATAGATAAACAGATACACAGATGGGTAGATAGATGATAGATAGATAGATAGATGGATGTTATATGTGATCAGCCAATAATTACCTTCAAGTCTGTTGGACAGTTCTCTGTTCCGTCACTTGACAAGAGCTTGTGTATTGCACATCTGTTTCACAGTTGGGAACAAATGCTCTAACCACTACCACCCACAAAGAAAGAAAGAAAGAAAGGAAGGAAGGAAGGAAGGTATTGCACATCTGTTTCACAGTTGGGAACAAATGCTCTAACCACTACCACCCACACTGCAACAAATACCTAAACAAACAAAGAGCTAAACCCACAGAAAAAGATTGGGGAAGAGAGAGGAGGAAATGGCCATAAGGAAATAGTCTCACACTGATGTCAAATGAAGTGGGAGTGGCCTTCTGAGAACCTTACCCTTCGCTTCCTGTTAACTATGAGAGGAGTAAATGAGAGATCCTGCAGATTCAAAGGAATGATACTGTTTCCTGTTGCCTTGGAAAAAGCACCAAGAGGGTACTATCTTACTTTTTTTCTCCCTAGTTTTTGTCTCTCTAGCATCTCCTCAATAAGGGCTATTGAACCATCTATTTCAAGTCCTCCTTTCCATATCCCATTTAGGGCTTCCCACTTCACTGTTTGAATGGTTTTCAATCGCATGCCCAAGCAATGACATGTCTTCTAAGGCTGTTAATTGAGGACTCCTTACTTGATGTTGCAAGGCTTCCTGGTTTGAATGGGTCATCCATCTATCTTGTGTTTGTCATTCAGCTAATTCAGAAATCTTCAAGGGATCAATTACATCCTAGAATATGGATGAGGTCACATTCAAGCTATTCACCTGGCTCTCTGCTGCCTCCCGCTTCTCCCAGCCTCAAGCTAACATAAGGCCAGGTCAGCCACCCACGAGTTCTGCTCTGCACCATCAAAATGATCTCACGAAACCCAGACGCTCAGCCAGAATCACTAAGGATTGTCAGGCCAAGCTTTGTGTATAATGACAAAAAACTGGGAGGAATTCAAAAATTCATCAACAAGGGATGGGCTGAATCAGTCACAGGATATCTGCACTGTGGAATACCATGGAAGTCTCATAAAGAATGCTTTAGATCTACAGATGCCAGCAGAAGATGGCCAGCTATGATTCTTGTCTTTAATCTCCTTTTCCCATCTCCCACCCCAGGCCTGGCTAGAACATGTGATCATGCAGCCTGTAAATTGTCCAAAGGTTAATTTTTCTAATTGAGGCCATTTATTACCTGAAAGACACGAAAGAGAAAGCAGGGCCTTACAAAGCAGCAAATTGACGAGCACCAAGAGCAGGAAGTTGCCCCAAGAGAGGCAAAACAAAGCCACAACGTCCAATTTCAGACGTACGTTTTGTCTTCTTCTTCTTCTTTTTTTTTTTTTTTTTTTTGAGACGAGTGTCACTCCTCCTCTTGCCCAGGCTGTAGTGCAATGGCGCGATCTCGGCTCACGGCAACTTCTGCCTCCTGGGTTCAAGCGAGTCTCCTACCTCAGCCTCCTGAGTAGCTGGGATCATAGGCGCCCGCCACCACACCCAGCTAATTTTTTGTATTTTTAGTAGAGACTGGGTTTCAGTATGCTGGCCAGGCTGCTTTTGAAGTCCTGATCTCAGGCGATCCACCTGCCTTGGCTTCCCAAAGTGCTGGGATTACAGGTGTGAGCCACTGCACCCGGCCCCCACATTTTGTCTTCTAATGGGGTGAACTTTGTCATGACAGAACCCATGATTAACCTCTCAACGTAAATGAAATCAACGTTCTATATGCTAGTGATGATCCTGTAAATGATACAAGATCCCTACATACTTAAGACCCACAGTTAAAATTATGAAAATGATTCTACAGAAGCTCTTAACTAGTTCCAATGAACTATCATCTATTTGACTTAAAACAGACCAATTAATTTTTAAAAAATTGTTTTTGCTGTGGCACGTGCCTATAATCTCAGCTTCTCGGGAGGCTGAGGCAGGAGAATCGCTTGAACCAGGGAGTCGGAGGTTGCAGTGAGCTGAGACCGCACCCCTGCACTCCAGCCTGGCGACAGAGCGAGACTCTGTCTCAAAAAAAAAAAAAAAAAAAATTGTTTTTATTGCAGAGAGTGGGGAGAGGGAAAGAAATTAGTCCCACTAAAATTCTGTTTTGCCATCTAAGGACATTAAAGGCAATGGCAGCTATCACAAATGACTATCACCATTATCTCATAAAACATTTTATGGACATAAAAAAAAAAAAAAGAGAGGGAGACCCCATCTCAAGAGGAAGGGTAGTTCATTTAACTGAATAAATTCAGCTGCATGAAAACTTACTTTTTTACCCTTATTGTTCTTGCTTTGTCCCAAATAGATGCTCACGTTGCTCAAACCAACTTGATCTTAAGATGTTGTTGGGAACACTGGAGTCACGTGTTCATGGGTCTTGCAGGCTGGCTTTTGATGGGAGCTGGGCTGCGGGTGATTTACGGACGGTTATAATCTGTGATGCTGGTCTGAAGTCTGAATATTCCAAGTTGCTGACTGCAGGCAGAGCCTCATGTCCTGAAAATCAGAAGACAGAGGACTTAAGCTTCCATAAAAGATGGGCTCATACTGTACAACCCAATCCTGTGCATTTGGAAGCAGAAAACACTGGCTCAAACGGCTTCCTGTTTTCTCTTCTCTTAAAAACTTGAAACATTAGACTACAGTGAAGCATAGAGAAGATCAAATATTAACTCATGCTAATCCTTTTCATATTAATTCCAGACTTGAATTTGTTTTATTAAGGAAATAAAACATTATTGGTGAAGCTCTCTAATACCTCTTCCTAATCCAATTTTCCATGGTGTCCTCTTCCCTGTCTGGAAGATACCACTATCATAAATGTGATGTGTGACTTTCCAGGACATGCTGTTCATACTGTGACCACTGTTATGAGTTGAGTTGCATCCCCTCAAAAAGGTATGTTCAAGTCCCAGCCCCCAGTACTTCAAAATGTGACCTGATTTGTAAGTAGGATCTTGGTGGAGGTAATCAAACTAAAATAAGTTCACTGGGGTGGGACCTAACGCAACATGACTTGTGTCCTTATGAAAAGGGGAAATTTGGGCCAGGCACAGTGGTTCCTGCCATAATCCCAGTACTTTGGGAGGCCGAGGCAGGTGGATCACCTGAGGTCAGGAGTTCAAAACCAGCTAATTCTAAGAATTCTTGAAAGGCAATGAAAAAGAATTTAAAAAGAAGAAATCGCTCATTCCCAGGCATCTCATTTCAACCAAAGTTTCACATTAGCAGTTCTGGAAGCTCCCATTCTTTCTGCAGGCACCTGATCTTGGATGGACAACTCCAACACACATGGGCGAGCGGTTGCCAGAGCACCAGGTCATGGGACGCTCACACACAGGCATATTTCAGCAGAGACGTTGATTTTGTTTGCTTGCCTGCTCTTCATTGCTCTTTCTGGGTTTGCCGTATTAGTGTAATGATTACTTTGGCTGTCAGCCTCGATGCCATGACAAATAAATGCCTAGGAACTCCTTTATCTGCAGTGTGTAATGTTTAGGACCAGGAAATAAAGGTAATGTCAATAGTCTCTATGTGAGAGCAATAGCTTCTATCACTCAGTTAACAAAGCCTTCCCGTAAGTAAACATTTGTTAGTGTGTGATCCGTGTTGGCTTTTCAGAG